GTAGGAGACAGTGCTCCATCTTTAAACCTAAGAATGTGATTCTGCTCTTGAGACGTGATTATTGATTGTGTCTGGAAAATATATGGCTAGATGATGTGACCCCTAGGTGCTTCCTCCCACATAGCATTTTATACATAGTGGCAGCATGTCCTTCAGTTGTCTGCTTTCACTTAAAGCATGGTTAGCTGGGCCAGTTTGTCTTTGCCAACAGTGTTCTCAACACAGTCTATAATAGCTGGATTTAGTCTATTGGTGCCAAGTCCAACTCTGGTCACTTCTCCTTTGCTACCCCTCCCTGACCAGACTCATTATTGAGGTCACTCAGGGATCTGGCAGGTTTCCTCTGCTGCGATGGCAGAGTACTGTTCTGCTCAAGCCACGGATATCCTGAGGAAGCTCTCTAAAAGACTGAGTTGTGGCCCCTGGCCTTACCCTCCTTAACAGTCTTCCTCTACTGGCCTGAAGGCCAACTTTTAGTCAGATGTCTCCTGGTTTGGGGATTTGTTTCGTGCTCACCTGCAGCACTTTTAACATTTTTAAGAATTGCAGCCGGCTGATGCAACACCCAGTGATGTTTTTATCAAATAGTTTTTTGTCAAATGTATATTTTGTGTTATACTGTTAACAGATGGCATGTTCTCTTTCATGTTATTTGTTACCAATAGAATGGTATTAATCCAGAGAAGCAGGGCGGGATTAGTTTATGGAGGCGTTTGAGGAACTAAGTAGATTGATGGATGTAGTAACAACTGGCTAATTTATCTTATGATGTTTGGACTATTGGAGAGGTGATGTATTGTTAGTGTTGGTGACTCAAGAGATTCACTTATAAAAAGATTAGTACAGTGCACCACAATGCAACCCAGCTGGCAGCAGTTTCAGTCTGCCAGTCCTGTCCTGAGTTTGCTTAGCAAGTGAAAGTGATCACGCTGCTAACCTTCTAGCATTACATCAGACGGCTCTTTTGTCATCCATTTTCATTGTTCTCGAACACACAAAATGGGTAGTCACAAGGGCGTGATTGTAACAATGGTTAATACCATCTACACTTCTATTCAGCCCATGTAAAACTAAACACCGGTATGATAAATGGAGGAATTTGACGTTAAAGGTTGAAACAGAACAAAAATATTTGATTTTTTTTTACGTATTATACTGGCTTTTCTTCAGCTAATAAACAAGCAAGCTTTCGTTTAGATATTCTGTAACATGATGTGAAGAAGATAAACTGAGTGAAGCTCCAGCTTTAGCAGATATTCTTCTCATGTCACCGATATACCAAGAAAGCGCTTTTGAGCAGATGTTCCCAAGGTTGCAAGTTATCAGTGCCTTGCATGCTAGTTGTGTGAATTTACCTTCATTGGGTGCCTTTCACATAGTTTTGACTTTTCCCTCTTAAAGAAACTGTCACTTCAACAGTGAACTGCCTCTTTTGAAAGGACTGAACAGCCCTTTATGTATTCTGTTATATGAAACGCTTAAGCAAAAGTGTTAAATCCTGGGGAATTTTCTCTCCAGATTTATATCATATTTAATTTAAAATACTATATTTAATATGTGCTTGATGTTGGTTACTTGAGTATAAAGCGCTTACTTGGTTTCATTTTTATAATGTAACAGTGGGGGTGAATGTCAATATATATATTGTAATTATATTACTTTATTTTTTTGGCAATAAATTCATGATTTAAAAAAAAGCCTGAAATTGAAGCTGCTGAAGTTTAGCGCACAGACATGCCTCATGATTAAAGTGATGCTTCTCCAAATTGACTTTCTGAATGTCTGTAGAGGAACCCTGTGTCAGTAAGAATGCAAGGAATTCCATGGCCAATTGACCCGAGGCTACTAAACCTTCATGCTGTTTCCTTTCTCTGTGCAACCTTTGCATACAAAGCATATGCATGTATATCTTTACTTTTTAATATCTAAAATAAAGCAGATTATACGTGATTTGTGTAGAAAGACATATTGACTTCATTTTTATTTCTGCCATAGATGTAAATCATCTCTTTTTGAAGCAATTGTAAAGGAACTTTATGTACCGCAAATCATTCAGCATTAATAAGCGCTTTTAATTTCTATTTTGATGGCGGCGCAACATGTCAGCCATTAATTTGAAGTGGTCCTCACACAAACGAGTGATTTGTTAATTTTGTTAGTTTTTTTAAACAAAACGGAAATTTTTCATCTTGAAATTAGAAGTACCCATCGTAATGGAATGATGAGCTTTTGTGACACTTGCACACTCTTTACTCTGATTTCATACAAGCGACCTCACCCATTCTTGCTTGGGTGGAGTTTTTGGTACGACTATTGTTGCTATTGTTCAAGTTTAAATGGGGAGTTGGCCTCCTTCACATCGAGGGTGGAGTAGCTGTTACATCACGTACATCGGCACACGGTCATGAAACTAGATGTGTTTATAGTTCTATATGTGCGCATGTAAAGCGGCTTCAGAGTAAGCGTTTTACAGTAAGGATCTTTTGAGACTTATTGCCAACAGAGCCTGTTTTGTTTTAGGTTACATAATGACTTATGCGTTAGAGTCTCTTATCAAATGAAGGATCTCTGTTATCAGATTACAGCTGTTTTATTCTCTTCTCACCAAACAGCTGCCCTGGTTTGTAGTCCACAGACTATCCCTTTTCCAGCGTCAATGCCTACCCTCCTGCCAAATTTCCAAACAATACTACCACATTTTCACTTCCACTTTGACAGATTTACTCTAAAATGTGGACAAAGCACTTGTTCGTGCGATGACACGACCAGTCATTATGAGAAAACAGCTGGTTTACCTTTTCTTAAGGCTGTGATTCACCCAAAAGCATCTGGAGTCATTATACAACAGAACATGTGAATGTGTCACTGTACAAAGTGACGGTGGGAGTGAAGGCTCGAGGTTCAGCTGTGTCGAGCGCCTATGAGGTAATCCCACTGGAGAATCAGAGGAATCTCAGTCATCTCTGCACACACACGGGGCTGGGGGGGGGCTGTTTTAGCAGTCTATCTGAAAACATCAAAATATATGCAGCTTTACCTGTCCACAGCTGAGAGATAGTACTGCAAGTGGAGACAAAAGACTTGAAAACGTAAATAATTCTGCAAAAAAAAAGAAAGAAAAATCCATCACTGTTTTAAAAAAAAAAAAAAAATTGGAGTCGTCGTCTAAAAAATGATTTATGCAACTTTAAAACAGGCATTAGTCTTTCTATTTGGATGTTGCAAATATATGTGCACAGTCTTGATGTCTGATTGTAACATTTTGGCATTCTCTAATGAGTGTGCGCTTTCAGTCAATGTGAGGAATGAAGGCGAAAACATGTGTCTGCTCGGGGAGTGTTTCCACTGGGATTCTCAGTCAGCTCAAACCACATGTCTGGCCAAAACAGGATTTCTCAAGAAAAGATGCTGGGAGGACAGATCACAGCAAGCCAAAGTGTGCATTTGAGACGAAGCAATTGTGTGTTGTTTTTTTGTTGTTGTTTTATTTTCAGTAATGTGCTCATCTTACAATTAATAAATTGTAACTCTGTCTCACCGAGCTGTGTTTGTGATTGGCTTAACTCAGTTTGTTTTGGTCTGATGCTTTTGAAATCCCCAGCATGCAATGTGTGCGCATACTAATGTGTGTTCTCCCCGACTAGACACCAAGGTCTGAAGAAGACCTGTGTGTGTATGCACGGGTGTGCGTGTGACACCTTACTCACAGTGATCCATTCATTTGTGGCCTGGCACCCAGATAGGGAGTCCAGTTGAGAAAGACAGAGACTGAGGGAGACTGTTTGGACCCTGCACAGTGACTCAATGCTAGCTGTCTGCCTGGCACAGATTAGATCAACACTGATGAATATTCAACTGTGGGCCATCGCTGCCAGAATGGCCTAGATTTTAACCAAGGCAAGACGCAGGAGATGAGCTTCTCTCCCACAAAAGTTATACAAAAGTTGCTTTATGTCCTGCAAAGAAATATCAATGACTTAATTCAAGAAAGTAATTAATATTTAAGTGCTTTTTTTTCTTCCTTTTTTTTAAGCCTTGAGAAAATAATTAAGATATTCTAAATCTGAAAGGTGGGCCGACATAAACACAAGTCACCCTAATTAACTTCATAGATTGCTTTATAACCGGCCCCTTTATGTTGACAGTTTATGTTCAGCTACGCATTTCAATAGAACCTGAATTTAAAATGTGCTCGACTACCTCATAGTGTTATCTTATTTTTGGTAAGCTCTTTAACGTTTGGAGCAGAACTTCCTCCATTATTCCTAAACAGATCTTCCTCACAAAGGCAGGAACTGTGCTAATGTAAACTGAAGCGTGTTTGGGTTGGAGCTTGGTGAATGTCTGAGGAGGTAAAGGGCATCTTGAAATAAAGACAAAAACCCAGGAACAAACCAAGGTCTGCCAGTGACACTGAATGGAACCTGATAAGAATGAATAAATGGGCCTAAAGCCCTTTTACCGGGGGTATTTTTAGGTTTTTTTGTTTGTGTGGCGTAGTTTGCCGCAGCGTGGTCTCAGTTTGAACGGTAGTTGACACTTTGAAATTAGTGGCATCGCTAAATAGAATGCATATAAAGAATAATATTGTTTCTACTTATCCAAGAACATATTTAGTTTATCCAAAACTGCGTAGGAGTGAGAGGGAATGTCTGTGTTAGGCATACAAAAATGCATCCTAGTTAACTTCTATTTGCCACTAATTGTAAGTGTATGTTACATTGGTTATACAAAGTTTTGAGGGGATGTGAATGTCACGCAGTGTGCTAACTCGTTTAGGCTTTTTCCTTTCCCTGCAGTACTGGTGGAATATTGTGAAGTGCAGTTATATGAAAGCGTGTAAAGGATAGACCAAGTGCAGAAAGTAAATCGAAACAAAGCAGTTGAGTGTTCATAATTCATGCAAAGAGTTTTTCCAGTGGGAGCATTGTCAGCGAAATTATCAGTGGTTTTAGTGGTTTTAGTATTCTGGCTAAAACTATGCCTCTTCTTCTCCTCAGGATGGTTCTCTGGGCAACATAGATGACCTTGCACAGGAATACTCTGAGTACTACAATACCTGCTTTAGTGACGTCAACGACCGCATGGAGGAGCTACGCAAACGACGAGTCTCCCAGGAACTCGACATGGTAAATACACACTCACCCATGTAATTACCTTGCCTAATGAAATCATGTGAACGGCTATTCATGCACAGCATTTTCTTTGCCTCGCTTCTGAACTTGCATGCTTGATTTTTTTTTTTTTACGCTCTTTACTAACTGCCAGACAAAGAATAGCAGAGACTGAACAAACAAGATGAATTTGTGTTAATGTCCAAGTCTTTCCCCGAGGCCAGTGTGCCTGAACACCACTACAAGTCCTTTTCAGAGAGATGTAGGATACCAAGACACTTCTTTGGTTGCCAAGTTGCAAGTAAATCTATGATGGAATGCTGCTGGTGCTGCTGCAGAGGGCCTAGCTTTGTGCAGCATGCAACCCAATGGGTCCACATGCTTGCAAGAGCAAGTATAAGATGAATTCAGTAAGTCCCTGTAAATAGAACTTGGGCAAATAAATTTTCAAACACACACAAAAACAAATGGTCAATTCTGTTTTTCTGCTAAGCTAGCTGCCGCTCTCCACCACGTTTGCTAGAAAGTCAGACATAGTAGTGTTATTGCCCGATAAAACAACGATTCAGCTCTCCATCCACATACTTTGCACACATTGTTGTCACATTGGACTTTCTTATTTTAGACCTTGTACCGATTGTCTCCCCATTTTTCTGCATGTTTTTCTGTCATCACGTTTCCAGTTTAATAGGCGGCCCCTCTTGCTCCAAGGCGACCATGTGGCTCAGCTTGCATTGAAAGGCACAGCTGATTTATTGTGCTGTGCATTTAATGATTTCAGACATCCAGTTGTCACCACTTTCATGATAGACTGTAAATGCATTTTGCATCTTATTATAGATTAAGTGCTGTCTCTTTGGCTGCAGACTTTGATCTGTGCTTACCTTTCGGGCATTTTTTTGTTAGTTTTGAAGGGAAGCTCTCCTTCTGAGTTCTTAAAACAGGGGAAAAGGAAGCTGTGAAGGCTCAGGGGAGGGGTTGGGGGTTGTGCTGAGTGGGACCTGAGCCTGAAGCCCAGTGCAGGAGGAGGCTAACGACATGAATAGTGGAAGAATGAGAAGGAAGGAGGATGAGGGGAATGAAGAGGAGGAGTGGAGTATGTGAGAGCCTGCAGCTGTCCTGCCACTCTGCACAGTTTGGCAGCAAAATATAGAAGAAAAGAAGAAAAATACATGGAGGAGGGGATATAGGTCAGACAACACCTTATCAAGAGCTCTCAAATGTGCAGTATCAACCCACACTATATGGATTTAACCTTGCCTTGCGTTTGAGTGCAGGCCTTTTTCTAAAATTAGTTTTGGGTGCTGTTCAAGTCCAGAACAGTCTTTTCTTTACCAATCCTTCTAGGATGCAATGGATTAAGACAAACTTTTCTTCTCTTAGACAATATTGTTAAGAGGCATTGTGAAAGTAATACACAAGGCGTGTACCGAGACAGAGCACAGGACACTAAATGAACTGAGAATGAGCTTAGACAGAGCGACGGACACCCAGTCAGAAAGAGAGTAACAAATGACTGTTACAGCTTTTGAAGTGTGTCCAGAAGTCAGTGGCTGCAAGCCAGCGTCATGCAGTCGTCACCCCTGGGACCAGTGCCAGATGGTTAGGCAAGGTCATAAGAGCCACATTAATAGAGACAGATTTTATTAGTGGAGGTGGATGGTAAAGCAGACAGGACTCCATAAGGCTCACCTCTCTTTAGCCATTGTCTTAATTTTCATGCGTTTCATAATGTCAGATTTATAGATCAGTTATTGATTTCAATTATTATTATTTTTACTAGTACTTAACTTGTTTCTTCAGATCTCTCCTACTATATGCTTTTCAGTTCAGATCTGATCTATGTAGTAGAAATTTTAGGGTAAAAGTCACCTAAGCTTTGACCTTTCTTGGTTTGCAATGCTGTACTAGAGAAGGCTGAAGTTTAGATAAATGTGGTATCGGAGAAGACGCCATGAAAGCTGTCTGGTTGCCAGTAAATCTGTGATGGAAGTCCTCATACTCCAGGTTAAATATAACTTGAGGAAAACACTGACTGGATATTTGCTACTGGAAAATTCCCATGCGAAAGCCCCACTGTCTAAAGTGTTGTTGTGGTCAACATTATAACACCAAAAAGTAAGAAGAAGGCCTTTTTAAGTTTCTGTTCTCCAAAGCATTCTCAACTTGACTCTTGGTACGGCGAGTTTGCTCATGATGGGAACCATTCAGCTTCTCTTTCGGGGTTTTGGGGGCTTTTTGGGTTTTTTGGGCTCTTTTCCTTAAAGTAACGAGAAATGTAACATTTGGATTTTTTTTTTCCCACTTGCACAATATTATTAGCCTGCTCTTGCATTGTGCCCCTTTTAACATAGTGATGGCTGTCTGTGTTGTTGCAAAGCAAGGGGCTCTCTCTATTAAGAGTTGATGACGGAAGCTCTCTCTTAGATGGCTATCGATGCACCTCCTTTCTGCGTGGCTTCCTCTCAGTTGTTTCTGTGACTCTATGGTAGTTTTATGAGTTAGTGGGATACAAAGGGTTAAATAAACATCCTCTTTGGGAATGTGGATATGGATTAGCACGACGGCCTCGCAGTTTCCCAGCGCTCTTATACATTAGCGTTCGGATGCTGCGTGAGGATTTTTATTATTGGAGTGACAGGAAATGCTGGAAAAGAGCAATATATTCAGCAGTTTTAATAAAGTGTGTTGTCTCTAATAACGGGTCAGTAAAAGGTCAGGTCAGAAGGATAAATAATTTTTTTCTTTTTTTTGCCTGGGATTCAGTTACATTTTAGTCTTCAGTGTTCTAATTCTTAGCTAAATACAAAGGATTTAGTTATACTTTATGGCTGGGCCATATTATACCGTTCACGGTAATACCGGTATAATGTTAGGCAATGATAGGAAAATGAAATATCGCGATAGAATATGAGTAAAACGCGCATGCGCAGTGCCTTTGTTTTCATACGCACATGGCCGATTGTTGAGTGAAACAGATGAACCAGAATTGGTTTGTAAAAATGGTGCAACTTCAGTGATGTGGAACTGGTTTGGTGTTTGTCCGTCAGATACACAACAAAGCACATTTTTTTGCAGAACATGCAAGCGGCCGTCGTTATTGTCGTATTTGTCGGACTAAGATGCTCTTAAATCTGGGAGTAATCTGGGTCCTAAACTCCGTATGCTTCAGGTCAAACAACACTGCAGCATCACTTAGAGTTAAAAACTGTCTAAATTCTTTCATCTTTAATAAAACGATCAGCATTGCTGCTTTACCAGGTGTAACTATAAAGTTTAACTTCCAGGCATCCATGAAAACAAAAGTTATTACATTTAACGGAGTTAGAAGTTAGCAGGAAGCTAGCGGAAGTTAGCTCGCTAGTTTCGCTAGTTACCTAAGCATGATATAGCATGTTCTGACTGAGAGATTTCTGAAAAAATTCAAACGTACAGCTCTGCTATCACTTCCAACATAAATGAAGACAGGAAACTAAACAGCAGTGACGTTTGTAGGGTTACTGAAGTTGGGCTAGCTGGTATATAATGATGTGCTACGTGATCGCTAGCGACACAGCTATGTTAGCATAACATAAACAGTGAAGCTGGAGGACGAACACTAACACTTTTCCACTTATAAAAGTTAACGTGAAGGTTCCTCATAGGTTAGAGACAAATGCAATCGCATGGCAGGATGCTGTAAACGGACCAAACTTCAGTCAGGAGAACAACTGAGATAATCCATCCACAATACGAGGTTAGTCATTAATATACTGCAACAACATGGGAATAGAGCAGCTGCCAGAGAATTCAACATTAATGAATCAATGGTACAGAAGTGGAGGAAGCAAGAAGAATGAGTTTAATAAAGTTTGATTTATCTGACTGCTTTGTTTCGCTTAATGTGCCTTATAATCCCGTGCACCTTATGGTCCGAAAAATACGTACTGCACACTGCAGTTTAATGTTGCAAAGCACCTCTTTTTAACTTCAGTGGATATTATACATGGTTATGCTCAGGATATGTCAGCCCATTTCTACTGGAAATGCCTTTTGGTTAAACTTTCAGCAAGGAATTTGCATTTGCACTGTTACATTTTTATAAAGCTTTAATGTACATAAAAACCAGCTTCTTGTTTAAGTAAAAAATAAATGGAAGGTTGTCTTTTTGCGCTAGTAATGTTGTGGAGTTGTATTTTGTCTCGCATCAATTATATCGTCAGTTATATCGTTATCGCAAATTTTCAAATATATATCGTGATAAATATTTTTGGCCATATCGCCCTGCTCTACTTTAGAATAATGTAGATGCATTTGACCGTCCTAATGTATCTTACATCTGTAACCATAAACATGATTTGTTTTTCAGTGTCCCTTTTCAAAATAGGTGCTTCATAGTAGTTTATTTTTACGATAATTTTTAAAAAGTGAGTTTTAAATTTCAGCATAGCAACGAAAATTTGCTTGGCCCAATGTTGAAAACAGTGATGTCGGTGGCTATGGTAGAGGTTACCTCAAATAAAAAACAAAACAATGATTGGCAGCCCACAGATTCTAGGAAATGATCCCAATTTTGGTTAGTAACACAATTCAATCACTGGTTTGCAGATCTGTTTTAGATGTGGACGGATTCTTAAAAGGCACCAAGGCAGAAGTTTGTAAAGGTTTTAACCAGTGGCTTTGAAGTAGCATAAATTATCATTGCATATTATCATTGCTAACAACTGCAATATATGACATTCTTTGGTTTCTGAAGCGGATGATGATCATTTTAAATACTGCTCCATAGAAGTCATCTGAAGTTGAAGTAAATACATTTAGTTAACTTTTGTCTTTTTCTTCTTGTTTCTTCAACATCAAGGCAGTTGGAAAAGTTATTCAAGCTATCTCCATGAGCAGCCACAAAGTCACGCTACAGTTATGTCAGTGCAAGTTTAGTTTAATTCAAAGGGAAGAAAAAAAAGTGCCAAAACGCAGACATAAAACACCAGAGGAGGGATCCCTTAAACATGCAGGGACTGGTTGTTGGATGACTA